TTCCTTCTATTCCTTCTTTTCTTCTTCATTCTCACAGTTCTTCCTTCATGCATTCCTTTTCTTTTTCTTCTTCATTCTCACAGTTTTCTTCCTTCATATATTCCTTCTTTTCTTCTTCATTCTCACAGTTCTTCCTTCATGTATTCCTTCTTTTCTTCTTCATTCTCCCAGTTCTTCCTTCATGTATTCCTTCTTTTTCTTCTTCATTCTCACAGTTCTTCCTTCATATTCCTTTCTTTTCTTTGTTCATTTCTCACAGTTCTTCCTTTTCCTTCCTTTTCTTCATTCTCACAGTTTCTTCCTTCCTATCCTTCCTTTTCCTTATTCTTTTTCTTGCTTTTCCTTCATTCTCATTCACAGTTCTTCCCTTCATTTCCTTCTTTTTGCTTCTTCCTTCATGTTTTCCTTTGTATTCCTTCTTTTTTCTTCTTCATTCTCCAGTTCTTCCTTCATGCTCATTCCTTCCTTTTCTTCTTCATTCTCACAGTTCTTCCTTCATATATTCCTTTTTTTTCTTCTTCATTCTCACAGTTCTTTTCATGCATTCTTCCTTTTCTTGTTCATTCTCACAGTTCTTCCTTCATGCATTCCTTCTTTTCTCTTCTTCATTCTCACAGTTCTTCCTTCTACATATTCTTTTTTTTCTTCTTCATTCTCATAGTTCTTCCTTCATGTATTCCTTCTTTTTCTTCTTCATTCTCACAGTTCTTCCTTCATATTCCTTCCTTTTCTTCTTCATTCTCACAGTTCTTCCTTCATGTATTCCTTCTTTTTCTTCATTCATTTTCTTCCTTCATTCTTCTTTTCTTCTTCAGTTCTTCTTCATATATTCCTTCATTTTTCTTTCCTTCCTTTTTCTTCATTCTCACAGTTCTTCCTTCATGCATTCCTTTTTTCTTCATTCTTCATTCTCCCACAGTTCTTCTTCTTTTTGTATTCCTTCTTTTTTTTCTTCATCTCACAGTTCTTCCTTCATATATTCCTTCTTTTTCTTCTTCATTCTCATAGTTCTTCCTTCATGTATTCTCATTTCCTTTTCTTCTTCATTCTCACAGTTCTTCCTTCATGTATTCTTTTTCCTTCCTTTTCATTTCATGTTCTCCTTTTTCTTCTCACAGTTCTTCCTTCATATTCCTTCTTTTTCTTTTCATTTCAGTTCCTTCATTCCTTCTATTTCTTCTTTTTCAGTTCTTCCTTCATGTATTCCTTCCTTTTCTTCATTTCAGTTCTTCCTTCATGCATTCCTTCATTTTTCTTCTTCATTCTCACAGTTTCTTCCTTCTTATATATTCCTTCTTTTTCTCTTCATTCTCATAGTTCTTCCTTCATTCCTTCTGCATTCCATTCTCACAGTTCTTTTTCTTCCTTCTTTTTCTTCATTTAGTTCTTCCTTCATATTCCTTCTTTTTCTTCTTCATTTCATAGTTCTTCCTTCAGTCCTTTTTTCTTTTCATTCCTACATTCTTCCTTCCTTCCATTCCTTCCTTTTTCTTCTTCATTCTCACAGTTCTTCCTTCATATATTCCTTCTTTTCTTCTTCATTCTCACAGTTTTTCCTTCATTTATTCCTTCTTTTCTTCTTCATTCTCACAAATTCTTCCTTCATATATTCCTTCTTTTTCTTCTTCATTTCTCACAGTTCTTCCTTCCTTATATTCCTTCTTTTTTCTTCTTCATTCTCACAGTTCTTCCTTCATGTATTCCTTCCTTCTTTTCTTCTTCATTCTCACAGTTCTTTCCTTCATTTCCTTCATTTTCGTTCATTCTCACAGTTCTTCCTTCATATATTCCTTTTTTTTCTTCTTCATTTCTCAGTTCTTCCTTCATGTATTCCTTCCTTTTCTTCTTCTTCATTCTCACAGTTCTTCCTTCTCCATGTATTCCTTTTTTTTTTTCCTTCTTATTCTCTCACAGTTCTTCCTTCATATATTCCTTCTTTTTCTTCTTCATTCTCATAGTTCTTCCTTCATGTATTCCTTCTTTTTTCTTCATTCATTCTCATGTATTCCTTCGCTTCCTTCATTTCATTCTTCCTTCCTTGTATTCCTTCTTTTCTTCATTCTCACAGTTCTTCCTTCATGTATTCTTCATTTTCTTCTTATTCCTTCTTTTTTCCTTCTTTTCTTCTTCATTCTCACAGTTCTTCCTTCATGCATTCCTTCCTTTTCTTCTTCATTCTCACAGTTCTTCCTTCATATATTCTTCTTTTTCTTCTTCATTCTTTTTCTTCCTTCATGCATTCCCTTCATTTTCTTTCTTCTTCATTCTCACAGTTCTTCCTTCATATTCCTTCTTTTTCTTCTTCATTCTCACAGTTCTTCCTTCATATATTCCTTCTATGTATTTTTTTTCTTCTTCATTCTCACAGTTCTTCTTCCTTTCTTTTCTTTCATTCTCACTTTTTCTTCTTCATTCTTCCTTCTTTTTCTCCATTCTCACAGTTCTTCCTTCATATATTCCTTCCTTTTCTTCTTCATTCTCACAGTTCTTCCTTCATGCATTCCTTTTTTTTTTTTCTTCTTCATTCTCACAGTTCTTCCTTTTATATTCCTTCTTTTTTCTTCTTCATTCTCACAGTTCTTCCTTCATATATTCCTTCTTTTTCTTCTTCATTCTCACAGTTCTTCCTTCATGCATTCCTTCTTTTTCTTCTTCATTCTCACAGTTCTTCCTTCATATATTCCTTCTTTTTCTTCTTCATTCTCACAGTTCTTCCTTCATGTATTTCCTTTTCTTTTTCAGTTTCTTCATTCTTCACAGTTCTTCCTTCATATATTCCTTCCTTTTTTTTCTTGTTCATTCTCACAGTTCTTCCTTCATATATTCCTTTTTTCTTCTTCATTCTCATAGTTCTTCCCTTCATTTATTCCTTCCTTTTCTTCTTCATTCTCACAGTTCTTCCTTCATATATTCCTTCATTTTCTTCTTCATTCTCAGTTCTTCCTTCATATATTCCTTCTTTTTCTTCTTCATTCTCAGTTCTTCCTTCATATATTCCTTCTTTTTTCTTCATTCTCCATTCACAGTTCTTCCTTCATGTATTCTTTCCTTTTCTTCTTCATTCTCACAGTTCTTTCCTTCATGCATTCCTTCTTGTTTTCTTCTTCATTTCATAGTTCTTCCTTCATATATTCCTTCTTTTTCTTCTTCATTCTCACAGTTCTTCCTTCATGTATTCCTTCCTTTTCTTCTTCATTCTCACAGTTCTTCCTTCCTTGCATTCCTTCTTTTTTTCTTCATTCTCACAGTTCTTCCTTCTTATATTTCTTCTTTCTTCTTCATTTCAGTTCTTCCTTCATGCATTCCTTCCTTTTTATATTTCCTTCTTTTTTTCCATGCATTCTCCTTCATTCTTTCTTCCTTCTTTATATTCCTTCTTTTTTTCTTCATTCTACAGTTCTTCCTTCATGTATTCCTTTTTTTTCTTCATTTCTCCTTCACATTTTTCTTCCTTCATGTATTCCTTCCTTTTCTTCTTCATTCTCACAGTTCTTCCTTCATGCATTCCTTCATTTTCTTCTTCATTCTCACAGTTCTTCCTTCATATATTCCTTCTTTTTCTTCTTCATTCTCATAGTTCTTCCTTCATGTATTCCTTCTTTTTCTTCTTCATTCTCACAGTTCTTCCTTCATGTATTCCTTCCTTTTCTTCTTCATTCTCACAGTTCTTCCTTCATATATTCCTTCTTTTTCTTCTTCATTCTCACAGTTCTTCCTTCATGTATTCCTTCTTTTTCTTCTTCATTCTCACAGTTCTTCCTTCATGTATTCCTTCCTTTTCTTCTTCATTCTCACAGTTCTTCCTTCATGTATTCCTTCCTTTTCTTCTTCATTCTCACAGTTCTTCCTTCATGCATTCCTTCTTTTTCTTCTTCATTCTCACAGTTCTTCCTTCATGCATTCCTTCATTTTCTTTTTTTCCTTTCTTCTTCTTTATCCCTCACGTTTCTTTCATCTTTCGCCCCCCTTTACTCCTTCTAACTTTTCTTTCTCTTTTACTCCCTTTACTGTCTCCTACCATTCCTCACGGTTTCATTTTCCTACCTTTTCCCTTTGATTTCTTCCCTTTATAAATTTTCTTTTATTTTGTTTATTTAAGATTATGTCGTTTCATTTGACCTTTGCGCACTCTAAAAACAAAAACAAAGAAAAGACGAACTCAGGATTGTCTATCGATTTATTATCAAAGGTGATTTGGTAAACTGGTAAAAAATACCGCATTTATTCATATATATATATATATATATATATATATATATATATATATATATATATATATATATATATATAGTGTGTGTGTGTTTTATGTATTTCTATGTAAACATATCTGTGTAAATATCCAAAAAGCATAGATATTTTTCGTAAACTATTGTGTATGTTTTGCGAAACAAAAAAAAAATGTGTTGCGGGTTGGAGAAGATATTTAAAACATTTTAAATATTGCAAAGAAATATGACTCTATCTTTTTATATCCTTTTCCAACCTATTCAATATGTATGGACACCAAGGGCAAAACGTTTTCAAACTAAAAGCCGCTGAACCGATTTCAATTTTTAATTTTTCTCCTTGGCTTTTTTATAATAAGAGGCAATGTTTTCTTTTCTTTTTTTTTTTTTGTTATTCCTTCATTGTGGTTCATTCGCTAACAAATAAGCACCTGTGTGTTAAAAAGAGCGCAAACGTTCACACCAACGATCAAAGGCTTGCGACTGGGCTTTCAGTACTCTCTTCAACGATCAAAATTTCATTCATTCAGTTTGGCTAAGGTTAATTTTAAATGAAAAGCATGACAGTGGGAAAAAAAAATAACAAAGCTGCGGTTTTTGAAAAAAATAATAATAATATACAGGTGTGAAAAGTACATTATTAATTTAAATTTTCTTTGGAATTTTTATTTTTTAAAATTTTAATCCGATTTGAGATATTAAACGTTGTAAATATATACGCTCTCATAGATGTTTGGAGTATGAAACAATTAGTCTGATCTTCGCCCTTAGCATACGGTCATATGTTGAAACACCTGTTCCTGTCCGATCACCAAAGTTAAGCAAAGTCGAGCCTGGCCAGTACTAGATGGCTGACAGCTTGAGAATACCAGGTACTGTAAACTTGGATATGCGGGTGGTTTAAGGGATAATGGCTCGGGATTGTTAATCGGAGAGGCGAGTTCAAATTCCCGTTGGGTTCGTTATATTCACTTACACGCAAATAACAATGGAAAAGGTATGAATCCATCACTTCTCCTTCCACCTATGGGTTAATTAGTAAGACTTGCATCCCTAAACAATTATTATCTAAAAAAAGGGACATTTCACAATCAAAAAATATTTTCTGACTTCAAATAACCTCTTCAAAGAAAATGCTTGATAAACCGTAGAAAATGAAAGAATCAATCATAAGCTTCTTTCTTGAATTCAAACAAAGATTTTCCTTTATTTAAAAACGATATATGCTTTCTAAATATTTCTTTTTAAAAAAAATGTCACGTGTCGCCAGGACGTAGGCGATCATGACTCTCTGTGGTTTCTTTTTTGTTGTTGTTCTTCTTTTATATACCGTGTCCCTTCAAGATGTATGCGATCATGGCCCTCCACTACCCCCTGTATTTCTCAATGTTTTAAACTTTTGCTACTTCTCCAATTCGCTATTCTGTCATCTACTTGCTTAAGCCCGCTAGGAATGTCACGTGTTGCTTTCCCTTGTCTCGCGTTCCTTCTATCCGCCCTGTGAGTATCAGATTCTCCAAGCCCCCCTTTCTCATTACGTGTCTTAGAAATTTCAACTTCTTAGAGAAGAGAGTGAAGAGGATTCCTCTTTCTTTGTCCACGGTTTGGAATTCAATGAGATTGACTGTCGTTATATCAATTTTCCCACCATTTAAACCATAAATAGGAAGAAAGTATCGGGTCGATTCATTTCCTAAGAGTATCATTCCGGGAAGGAGCGCAACAGACAAACCCGGAATTTGAACACGACTCGCCGAACCAACTTTCTCCTGATATCGTTTATACTACCACCACATTCTACACTAAATATATAAATATATATATATATATATAAACAAATTATGGCATTAATGTTACTTCCTTAAAAAAATATTATTTCAGAGAAATCCAGATATGTCTGGTATTTTTTTTTTTACAAGTCTTTCTTCTTTCCAGTAATGTATTTTCCTTTCTTTGTTAATTTTTTTTTTTTTTTTTTTTTTGTGGTTAATTCGCCAACAAGACTGATACCATCATCTTGAACTCATAAAGAAGTTGGTTTTATTTATTTTAAATAAGCATTCATCATTACTAGAACAGAAATTCGTTTTCTTGGTTTAATATTCGGGAATTATTCTACATAATATTCTAATATTAGAATTATTTACATATTCTAAATGTAGAGCAACATAAACTGTTTGATATTTTATAAGTACAAAGCACCTATAAAATTACTTCGCTGTCATTTTTTGAAGCAATGGATAAACTATTTAATAAAATTATTATTTGTAGTATTTTTTTAAAAGTATTATTTGTATATTTCTAAATTATACAAATTTCCATTCATTTGTGTGTATATATATATATGTATATATAATTTATTAAAGACATTTTTATGTTTAACGTTGTTATTTATAGATACAAGTATCGAAGCAAATGCTCTTTTTATGATAAACAGTATTAAATAACATTAATGGAAGATTGGAGTTTATAAGCAGTAAATTCGACCTTGTCTACCGAATGGTTCTTTGTGGCCGAGCGGTCAAGGCACGTCAGCGTATATGACGGTTCCGTATAGGATGCAGGTTCGAAACCTGTCAAAGAACGAATATTTTCTATGAAAATTTCTCGGACATTCAGGCCGGTAAATGTTATTTAATACTGTTTATCATAAACAGAGCATTTGCTTAAATACTTGTATCTATAAATAACAACGTTAAACATAAAAATGTCTTTAATAAATAAATTGTCGGACCTTGTCCATTTCTTAATATATATATATATAATACAAAAGGAAAACTTATCTTAGCCAACGCGTTTCAGCCTCTGATGCATGTTATGCAAACGTAAAGATTTTATTTTTCAACAAGTATTTATAAAAAAAAAAGGAAAACATAATGTTATTTTTTCTAAATTTTTTAATTTAAGAAACGCTCATAAATATTCATCAGGTCAACCGAAAAGTCCAGTTAAATCATGGAGGATACTAAGTGACGCCATTTAATGTCTAATGAACGAAAGGGAGTAAATTATGTTGCTTATTTATTATGTTAATTATTTTAGTTTGGGATTAATTTATGTATTTCGGAAGATCCCCGATGAGAGAAGTTTCGATTAAATGCACAATTTCGGACTTGCCTGATAGGCAAATGATGGTCAACATATCGAACATTCAGGTTGTCCTTTCCTCTATACGATCTGTATCGGGCTCAAGGATGGCATTTCAATCGCCCGCTAAAATTACCCGACGAGACGTCATCAAAAACGGCTCGATCCGCCGAAACAAAATCAGGCCTCTCCGCATAGTCTTTGGGCGCATAAGCTCCATTGAGACAAAGAGATGTATCCTTTATGGTAACATCCAGCACACAAAGTCTACAGGTCGAATCTGGGAAGAAAAGAGCAAACGCCGCATTCAAATACTTTCTCACTAGCCAGGAAAACACCTCTCGAACGTTTATCAAAACATGCTGAATAGAGGAAAAACCTCTTAGAATGTATTCTCGGTCGTGAGTTGAAAACCAGGTCTCTTGTATACAACATGGATACACACCAAGAAGCTGAATTTCGCGAGAGAGACTCGCCCTGCGAGTCTCTGACCACAGGCCTGCGCCATTTATACTAGCCAACCAGAGAGACAAGATCAGTCCGATTAGGGTTAGGGACCTGCTTAAAACATGGTCAGGGTAAAGACACTGACGGCCTCTTCTATTGAGCCTTGATCTGTCAGTTTTGATAGTGCTGTCAAGAGACAGACCACCAATAACACAGAGGAATGTTAACTTCAGAGCTTTGTACTGGGTGGGGTAAACAAAACGAGGAAGCCTACCTGAACAGTATTGATCTTTTTTTTTTATATTATCGTCATTAAAAAAAAAAGTCAGGAAAGAGAATATACTAAAGTCATCATTCGCTTCCTGCAGCATAGCCCATGTTTGTTGGGATCTTTTTCCCGATCGAATCACGGTTTTAGCGTTTGAGAAGTTTTGTGGATTTTCTACATCCTTGGAGTTGACTTCCTTAAAATTCAATAAATATTTTAGGTCCTTTATCTTGTTTGAGTTAAGGCAATTTCCGCTTGCTTCATCGACACATTTCTTCCCCGGTGTTAAAAATTGTTTTAAATTTAATTTTCTTTTCTGAAGAAGGTTCTGTGGTGTGAGATGAAAGGTTTCGCTAATTTTTTTGTTGATCCGGTTTCTTTTGGGGGAGCATTTATGGGTGTATGTGCAGGATAGATTGCGAGTGGTTGAAGGCGTGGTCTTTCTTTTAGCAGGTGATTTAGTAGAAGGAGTCTTTTTGAGAGTGGTCATCTTTAAAAGGGTGGGAGTCAATGATTTTGTTACTGAAGGTGAGGCCATGACGTTTTTTTTTTATTGTTAAAGGGGGAGTCGATGCCTAGAAAGAGGGGCCAGTCTTTTGAACTATTAACTCTTGAATTTTCCTTGTTTTTATAGTTTCCTTTAATATTGTATATTTCTTCTTTTCAAAACATGGCTCGTATTTCAGACGCTGATTCATGATTGTTTCTGCGTAGTTTGCCGAGTTATCGCCCTTGAAACTGGTAGAAGGAGCGGGATTGTACATGTCTTTACTCGAGAGGGCTTCCGGGGACTGAGGTCCCGCTGCCCGGAGCTTCCTTCTCGTCTTGCCAACGACCAGCCATTCCTCTTTTTCCTTTTCCGCGGCCCGCACACTGAACCCAATCGGAGGATTTATCATATCGGTCCCAATCGTTGGCATTTCCATCACAAGCGAGACGTAAATAACGAGAGTGGGTGGATCAGCAGGGACTAGAACTCCAGAGTTCTTCTTTTCTGGGCAGGAAGAGGAGAGGTGACTAGTCTCTCCACTCTAACCGGTTGGTTTACGGCCGGTCACAATGACCTGCATTTTTTGGCCCTCTGCATCCAAACAGTTAGGGACGGAGATGAAGGTTTTTCGATCTCGCATTATCTCAAAACCCCATCCCCCTTTCAGGTCGTCTGAGATAACACTGAGTATCTGATCATACCGGAGCAGATAGGCGGCTAAGTGCTCTACCGGAAGGAGGAAACTCGTATGCTGATATATGGCATCCTCGCGGAATATGAGGTCTTTTGTCATGAGATCTCGATTGGAGGTATCCTCAGTCAGCAGGTGTGGTTAACAGTACGTCTCACACGAAATAACCTTAACCCTTGATCACTCTTTGGGTTTAACCCTCAGGGACGTCAACGCTTGTCGACCATAAAGACCGACAAAATTCGTTTCTCAAATTTCTGTAATTCCTGATAGTCTACCAAGAGCCTATCTTGTTTGATAAGATGTCCGTAACTCTTGGCTCTCCTCAGTAACTCTATCATGCTGATTATGAACTTCGCGAGGGACTTGCAGCAGGAGGCCGATTCCTCGACCGGTACATTATCGTTGTTTCTGTTATTGTTTTCTTTGCCTTCACATTTGACTTGTTTTCTGAATTTAGGTCAGCATATTTGGTTCATTTTTCTTTTGGTCGTCTCTGGTAATACCCTCCGTTTTTTTTTGTTTTTTTTTTTTTTTTTTTTTTGTTTTTGTTTTTTTTTTTTTTGTTTTGTTTTTTTGGTTTTGGGGGGGGGTTGTTTTTTTTTTGTTTTGTTTTTTGTTTTTTTTGCTTCTTTATCAATTGGTTTCTTTTTTTTTTTTTAACCGAACAAGTTCTTTTTGACAGACCGACATTTGTCGGTCATTTTTTTAAAGATTGGGACTGTTCTTTTCTTGTAGGCAAAATTAGGGATTCTTTAAAAAAAATAAACAATTGACAAAACAAAAAAAGAATCAGTAAAAAGTAAATAAGACACAAATTAAAGTATTTCTACAAAGAGTGCGGGAAAAATAAAAATAAAACTAGTTTAACGTACAGTAATAATAAAAAAAACTAAAG